TGAGTACATTCTGCACAAAGCCTGCAGCAAGACAGGATGAGTCAGGCCTCTCCATTAGGCTGCAGCCTGCTTTGTCTGTCCCTGCATTTGTGATCTGTCCTGAACTCCAGGAACTGGAATAGAGTGATGCAACCTTCCAGCCCTTCCAGTAAGAGTATTTATGGTTTTGTTTAACTGACTTCCTTGAGTGGAGCATAACATCACAAAGCTCCTGGGTCACCGAATCCAGTCCCCTGCTATCACAGGCAACTCTGTCCCAGAATCTCAGCTATAAGTTTCTCATGCTCCATGTTAGAACTAAGCCCCATAAGGCTGTTCCACATTCTCCTCTGCTGGTTAGAAACTTTCTTCTCTTTTCCAGCCCACATTGATTCTTGCCCGGTTTATCTCTATTTTGTTCTTGTTCCAGTGCCTTCCTTGAGCTTCAGCAGCTCTTCTACCTTCCTAGATTTCCTCCCCACAATGTATTCAGAGACAATGTGCTCAGATCCCCTCCTAACTTTGTTTTGCCAGGCTAAGCAAGATCAGTTCTTAAGTTTCCTCTTGTAAGACAAGGTTCTTCATCCCTCTGATCAGCCATGCAGAGTTGAGTGATCTTTGCTATTTGTCTTACTGTAGCACCTCCAGTGGACAGCAGAGCCCAGTTGTGCTAGGCACTGTACAAACACATACTAAGTCTGTCCACACTAACACCTTGCAGCTCTGTAAACTTTCTGGCTCAGGGGAGTGAAAAATCATACACATACCTCAAACGCAGCAAGTTACAGTGCTCTAAAGCACCAATATGAACCACGCTACAGTTCTGAGAGCTGTGCTTCCCAGCACTGTTAGCCTCTTCCCCCGCAGAGGTGGTTTACATAGAGTGCTGGGACAGCTCTCTCCCAGTGCTCATATCGTGACCACATTTCAGTTTAAAGGTTCTGTCTGCACACAAATTTGCCCGGATTTAATTCTCTTGGTCTAGTTAAAGCATTACAACTTGCTCATTTTGGATGCAGCCAGCCAAGGATAAATGTGTTTAGACAAAGATAGCTCACAAAGGGAATAAGCTATAACAAGATAAGGCACCTTTATCCCAATATAACTGCATCATAGTGGCTAGAGGATGTCTTAGCATGACTATACTGGCAAAAAATCCCATCCCTAACCAACATAATTACACTGATACAATAACCGTATGTATAGAGCAGGTCCCAAGAGATCAGTCTAAATGCACACTGTATGGGAAGGGAAACAGGGACACCAAGAAGGCAAGGAACTTGCCCAAGGTCAGTGACAGAGCTGGAAAAAGAACCCAGGACTCCTAACTCCCAGTTCCCCTTGCCGGGACCCACTAGCTCAGTGGTGAACTATCTGTGGTCCTGCAGGTGCATGCGGCCCATCAGGGCAATCTGATTGCCGGCCACAAGACATTTTGCTGACATTGACCATTTGCTGGCACCACCTCTGCAACTCCCAGTGGCCAAAGTTCACTCTTCCCAACCAATGGGAGTTGTGAGGGCAGCACTTGCAGGTAAGATGGGTCACAAGGATGTGCTGACTGCTGCTTCCCACAGCTCCCAGTGACACAGAATAATGTCTGTGGCCAGACAACATCAGCAAAATGTATTGCAAACCACAATCAGATTATCCTGATGGGGTAGCCCATCATTGCACTAAATCCTCTTACCCTTCCAGAGTCAGAAACAAAACCCAGAAACACTGATTCCCAGTCTTCCTCTCTGACCATTAGACTCTTCTCATAACTGGGAGAGAACCCAGTAGTCCTAGTTGCCATCTGTCTATGCCCTAGCTAGAAGACCATACAGCTTTCTGCTACTGATTCTCAACACTGTATTCCTTCACTGCACATCTCGACTTTGATGCTAGATCCAAGGTTGTAAACCCCTTGGGTCACAGTCTGAGCCAGGCATTGCCTGTGGCACTACAGTCCAATGCTGCATGCCCATAATCCTACAAATAGGCTGGGAAATCAGATACACACCAGTCCACAGGGCTAGGAAGGAGAGAAAGGCCTTATTGACAAACAAAAGTTCTTTGTCTCACAATAATTACACTGGGGGGGGAGGGGGGAAATCCAGGCAAAACTTGCTCTCTTCCCCTGCTCCCCACCCGACTCTACTGCTGCATAATCCCATGCAGGAGGATAGAAAATGGATTAAGATCTCTTGTGGCAGGTCCCCCCTCTGCCAGTGTCACAAACAATCTCCCTCTTTGGGAAGATGCCAAAGCCAGCAGGAGGTTGCAAAACACCCATCTTTATTCGACTGGATGTGCTGTATTAACCTGTTGGCAACTGGATCAGCCTGAAAAGGCCAGTTCATGAGCCTTTAAACGTGAAAGGATGTAGTATTTGAATTATGGGCTGCCATGCAGTGTTATGGTTTCACACCCCTAGCCTGGGAGTTTGTGGAGGTGTTGGGAGGAAGGCACTGTGCTGGAATAATACTATGGCAGAGTTCATGTGGTCATGGTGTCTCAGTGTCCACCCACCGCATTGGGAGGAGCTGGTACTGCCTATCTTTGGTTCAGTCTCTGTTGGTTAACTTTATGAGGCCACAGTTTTATAACCTCCTCCACCCTCACTGAGTCTTCTTCCCTTCCAATAACCTTGTAGAGTTCTAGTCTCAACGCAATATTCCTACTGATGTCAATGGAGCCAGAGAAAGAGATGAAGGCAGGTGTTAATCCATGCAGAGAAGTGGGAAGGCAACTTTACAACCACTTATCTGCTGACATCTTCTAGGCCAGGGTTTCTCAAGCTTCATTGCACTGGGCCCCTCTTCTGACAATAAAAATAGCAAATGACCACAAGAGGGGGGCCAAAGCCCAAGCCTACCCAAGCCCCACCATTCTGGGGATTGGGGGCAAAGCTGAAGCACAAGAGATTCAGCTCCAGGCAGGGAGTCTGTAACCTGAGTCTCTCCACCCAGGGCTGAAACTCTTAGGCATTAGCTTTATCCCAGGCAGTAGGTCTTGGCTTTGGCCCCAAAGCCTGAACAAGTATAATGGCTGCTCACTGTGGGGACCTGACCCACAGTTTGAGAACTACTGTTCTAGGCCTTACTTAGGGTAAAGGACTGGAAATTCAGAAAGGGAGCTCTGCTCAGAAAGGAGGAAGACAGATGGCAGCTGTTTCATTAGAGCCCTCAGGATGGGCATGAAATAAACAGTGGTCACGTGCATATAGACACCATCATGATCAGACCCAGATGTTCAGCTGAAAAAGTGGAGGCTCCATGGAACTAGCTTAGCTGGCTCTGACCAGGCTATTCCAGTTGCTGCTTGAGGCATGAGTGCACACATATGCTGAGCCAGTGCAGTGCTCACATATCTCTAGGCTGATGGCACACAGATCCATAGACCAGAGGGTAAGCCCAGCACAAGCAGCCTACTGCTACTGCCCACCTCCATCATAGTATCTGAACCATTAACAGCTTTAAACTTCCCCCAGCCTTTGGAGGCAGGAAGATATCCTTCCCATTTTACAGAGGGAGAAGTAAGACACAAAGGTCTTGCACAAGGTTACATATGGCATCCATAGCTAAGCCAGGAATTGAACCCAGACCTAAACCACCATACGAATGACTGAAACAACAAGTAGTCTTGTAGCACCTTAGGGTACATCTAGACTGTGGGGTTTTTCCAGGATACATCCTGGAAAAACTCTGCCGCATCCAAGGAACGCATTTGCTCTTAAATGCGCTCTTTTGGGGAGCCCTTTATACCTTGTTCTACAAGGAATAAGGGCTCCTCCGAAAGAGGAGGCTTTTCCGCCATTTGGCCCCATCTAAACAGGATCAAATGGTGGAAAAGCCTCTTCTGGAAAAGCAATAGGAAAAAGCTACGCAAATTGCAGAACGCAATTTGCATAGCTTTTTCCGAAAAAAGGCTATAGCATAGACCTAGCCTTAGAGACTAACAAAAATACTATATATAGCAGGGGTCAGCAACCTTTTCAAACCAAAGAACCAAACTACATCAAAATTCAGAACAAGTGATCAACAAAGAGTTGTATAAGAATGCCCATTTGCATGACTGAAAATATATAACTTAATATTATTGATAATTGACATGATGATTAATAATAGCATAAATGAAACATACTCACAGACTTTATTTAATGGGACTTCTGCTGCTGCATCTTCTCACACATTACTTTGATATTTACATCATAACTGGCTAGATTCAGGTTCATGCGCACATCCAAGCTACATGAGTAATCATGCATTTTTTAAATTTTGAATTTTTCATATTAATTTAAAAAGTCGCATGTATTTTGGGAATGACCAAAGAGCCATATTTGGTTCCATAGAGTGTGTCTACACAGCAAAGTTATTTTGGAATAATGGCCATTATTCCAAAATAACTATGTGAGAGCCTACACAGCAATTCCATTATTTTAAAATAATTTCGAAATAACGGAAAGCTTATTCAAATGTCTGTAAACCTCATTCTACAAAGAATCAGGACCCACAGTCAGCAGCCACTTCTCTCTGGCCAGCCAGCTAGGAAGGAAGCAGCTTAGAAGAACGGGTATTATGGTATGATACTGCTGCCCTTATTTCTGCATTGCTGCTGGCAGGACACTGCCTTCAGAGTCTACATTAGGGAAGCCTGCCTCAGACTAATTTTGAGGCTTACCTGCAGTGTGGATGTACTATTTTGAAATAAGCTATTTCGAAATAACTATTCCAGAATAGCTTATTCTGAAATAACTATGCAGTGTAGACATAGC